GTCTTTATTGGAAGAAGGGTGAAATTTGAGGTATGACTCCAGTGTGCCTATTTTGATAGAGACCACAGCAAAAACTTAGGTGCAGTGTGGGAAGGGGGAAGTAACTGAGATCTACCAGAGGCTGGAAACAGCTGACCACAGTTCAAGTGTATTGAATTAAGTTCATTGTGATTGATTGAATCTGATCTTATCTTCCTTTTCTAGTGGGTGATGTGTATGTTTAATCATTCACTCTAATGTGATTTAAAAAAACAAAACAAACAAAAAACCCCAAGCAAACAAAAAAAAACACCTCAAACACCAAACAAAAAAACCTTAAGCAGCATTTACTCATAGTACCTTAAATTTAAATGGGAGGGCCTTTCACTTTGTGGCAACTTCTTTGTTTACCGAATTTAACAATTTTTTTGTATAAAATATTTTTCTAATTTTCATACAGATTACCAAAGCTTTACCTGTGTGAATTCTGTCTTAAATACATGAAAAGTAAAAACATTTTGTTAAGGCACTCAAAGAAATGTGGCTGGTTTCATCCTCCAGCCAATGAAATCTACAGAAGAAATGACCTTTCAGTATTTGAGGTAGGTATATCAAAAACTAAGCTTCTGAAGGTAACCAGTTTGTAGACATTACAGACCAGTTGTATAACTAATGAAAACTTTAACATACTTAAATACTTCCTTGGAGATTCTTCTTATACTGCAAAAACAAGTCCCATCTTCCCTGTCCTGTTCGACCCTGCCATGTTCTGTCACAATTCTTCCTTTCTTTATTTGCACTTCATGCATTACCCAACCTCTTAAGATACAAATATAGCATGTGTCTTAGATGGGGACTGCAATGAAAGCTCTTTGACTGGATTGCTGTTCCCTTATCAGCAAAAGTACCTGTTACACCCATTAATTTCTGGCTATCTTGAGTGTAGGGAGAATACTAATCATAATGTAGATGCTTCCAATGTATAAAAGTAAGCAAAGCAGTTTCTTGTGTATTGTTCTAAAAACACAAATGTAGCTAAGTGCATTTGCCTTTTGGATGTTTGAGAAACTGGCCCTGAAACATCCTGGTTGGGTGACAGAGGTTCAGTCCAACTTTGGCCAGAACACAGTGCCTTTTAATTTAGAAAGTCCAGACTTGAGCTTGTCGATATGTATTCTTTTATAATCTAAAGTATTCTCTTAGAAGATGACTTCTGTTAAAGTTTGGGATTTTAAAGATAGCCTGGACAATAGAATTCTGTGTTTCAGATAGCATGCCTGCAATTGCTAAAGCTATGCATTAACCTCCACCTTCCTATGTCTCAAGAGTTGTTACCAATTGCATTAACAGAAAAGACAGCAGGGTTACTAGGACTTCTTTTGAGGCTGTTTATCAACAGTAGTATTTAGATGTGTATTTTGAAAACCTTTTTTTAATTGCAAGTATCATAGATTCTATTTGAAATTTGTGTTTTTGTATTGTACTCTGTTACTCTGATAACTGTAGGAACTTACTCATCCCTTTATGTCCTTCCTCACAGATACTTCCCAGGAATTCTGTGTACCCATTTTCTCTTGAATAGAATGAAGATTTTGTGGTTCCCTTCATTCTTTCTGTTTTTGAGAAAAATAGAAACGAGTTGGGCGTTTAAGATTTATACCTCTGCCCATAGCATGATTTTGATGGATTTGAGAGAAGACTTTGACATAGTTTACTACTATGCTGTATGCAAGAAACATCTGACAGATGCAGATGCTTGCTTTTGAAGTTATAGTCCCTCTCCCCCCCTTCCCTCCCCCCCTTTGCATTTAAAACTGATGAACAAGCTGTGTTTTCCTGGAATTTAAGGAAATTTTTTTTTACATTTCTGTACAAATGTTCTTACTGAAAAAGCTTACACAATGCGGGTTTTCAGGCTTATGGTTTACCTAGTGGTGATTTCTACTTGGTTAATGTTTGCATTTAATTTGCACACTTGATAATACATGTGAAAAGGAATAAAAAGCATCTGAACAAATGGAGTGAGTTTATATGAGAGCTTAATGTATTTGATAGGTTCTGAAGTGCTGTTTGCAAGTTTATTGTGATGCCTTTAGGAGCAGTAGCTATCCATTAAATGTTTTTTCTTTAATCCAGATAATTGCTGGTCACCTTGAAATCCCTATATATATCCAAGAGATTGAGTTTTACTCAGATTTGTAACTAGGATTCTTACTAAAAACAAATTAGAATAAAATATTTCTTCTTTTTCGGCATGGTATGCATACCATTTGGCTGTTTCTGAATGAAATACAGCTAGTGACTTTTTCAAAGAACATCAGTACTAGCTAACCTTTCCATTAAGAAGATTATTTCAAAAAATGCTGTTGCCTTTGAGCCGTCCCTTTCAGAGAATAATTAATTGATCTTGGAAATCTGCATCTCTGTCTGGCTTTTCTGTAGCTGTCTGAGTCACAGCTTGACTCTTTACACTACTAACGTACCTAGACTAATTGCAGTACTTAGCCTGAAAATTTACTTAGCCTGAAAATTTACTTCTCTTGCTCAATAGCTTTTTAGTCCAGCATAGAAATTTTGTCTTGTCTAATTTGTTTAAAACATTGTTGTGATGTGATGTAATTGGCAACTCATTCATTGGCTTTACACCTTGAGGATTCAACGTAATACATTTCATTGTTTTGGGTTTTTTTATTATTGTACAGCACCGTCTTCTAGCAAACCACAGTTTAATGTAGTTTTAACTAGTACATTTTTGTTGTCTGCCAGTCATTCATTTTCATTCCAGGAACGACATGAAAGAGGTAAGTCTCACTTGAACAGTTAAAAGGTGAAGTTACTTTGTTTAATAAGTCTTGGTCCTTGGATGATACTTATGAATGCAAAGTAATTAGTACTAACTGGAGAATTCTTACTTAACAAGAAGCTGGGGCGTTTCCTTCTAGGATATGATTGGTTCAGGAAGTTGTTTTGTCCTAACAAGTTGGTGACATTGGAAATAACTGCATCTGTCTTGCTTTCTAGGTTGATGGAAATGTGAGCAAAATTTATTGTCAGAATCTTTGTTTATTAGCTAAGCTCTTTCTGGACCACAAAACCTTGTATTATGATGTTGAACCATTCCTCTTCTATGTCCTTACAAAAAATGATGAGAAAGGCTGCCATTTAGTTGGATATTTCTCTAAGGTAAAAAAAAAAATTAACATTTGTAATTTCCCGTTCTCCTTATACTTGTGCCAACAGCAAAGAAAAACAATTCAGGAGCTAGAAATCTTCTTTATAAACCTCAAATATAATGTGCATTATCTTATATACACTTGTATTTTCTTGTCTCAAAGACTGGTGAAAATTGAGAAATTGTATATGCATTCAGCCACATGCTTTGGGAGTTTTTTGTTGGTTTGGTTGCGAGTGTGGTTTTTGTCCCGTTTTTCTTTTTTTTTTCCATTATGTGTTTTGGTTTCAGTTAAAAATTAAATCTTTTTCCTCCCCCTGCTATTTTTGCACTAGTATACCAAGTCTAACTTTTCAAAGTGCTAGGTGTTTGAAACGATGTGTTTTCATGATTTAACTGCTAGCAGTACAAGCTGGCTATTTAGACATAAATGGCCAGCTGTGTTCATCTCTTGGGTACAGTCTGATCCAATGCAGTGACTCATTGCACTGAGTGTTAGAATGCAGTGCTTAACTTTATGGTGGATGCCTTCTTTAGGGTGGATGTCTTTATTGGTTGTGGTTTTGCTTTGAATTTTAAATTAATAGCTGTCTGCTATAGACAAAAAAAATACTTATGTGGACTATCATGACAAAGATAACCAAAAATAATGATGAAGTGTAATTAGATGTGTTTGCAACAGGAAAAGCTTCCATTAGTAAATTTGTCCATAAGAAATACGGTGAATTGGTATAGTTACTGAGAAATCCAGTTCTTCTTGCTCCTTGTATCACCACCTCCCTCAATATATAATTTATATGAAGATACTATTTTAAAGAAGTTTAAAAGTTTTGTCAGAGTACCTGCATATTATAGTGATCTCTTGACAGTCTGACCAGTTCCTTCCGAGATGTGTGCCTTGCTGGGATTAAAATAACAATGAGATGTGTGTGCACAATTTGCACCATCTCTTATGTCAGTCAGAAGTTGTTGTGGCATACAAACATGTCAACTCTGATACAGGCAAGTATTTCCTGGTAGATTTATTTAAGGCACTACAGATGTTAAGAAGAAGCTCTCTTGATGATTGTTCCTTCTTTCAGCAAGGATGCATTTTTTTTTCCCTTGCTTTACCCCTGTTGCTTTTGGACAATCTGTCACATCTGATGATCACAAATGCTTTAGCTACCAAAACTTAGGAAAAAAAACTTTCATCTCAAATTCCAAATTCCACTGAAGTACTAAATTTATTTACTTTATTTTATTTAATTGCATGTGTGTTGTCCTACCATCCCCCCCTTTTTTTTTTTTTTTTTTTTTTATACTTTTTTTGGGTCTGGTGTGTGGGTGTGTGCACGGACGAGCACTTTTCTTCCCTCATTACAAATACATTGCCAGAATATGAACTTTGTCCTTGGAGCAGTCTTGGGAGTTTGGGAAGCCTGTACAGAGAAAGTACTTCACCATACCATAGAAACTAAGAAACCTTGCAAAATATCACCTGGGTATCTGCTCTCATAGCTGAAGAAATGTTTGGAAACCCAGATACTGGCATGTGATCCTGTCAGTGTCATCACTAGTCTGGTGTCATCTTATGTGTGGAGGCTGAAGTGATAGGTGGTGTCTTAAACTGTCCGTGTGCTTGCCACAACTCCTTGGCAGTTATGCTGACCCGGGTATTTCGGATTGATTTATTTGGTCTCCCTCAAAACTACCTAGTGCTGATTTGGGGTTTTTTTGTGTGTGTGCGTGTGTGTACAATCTTTTCAATGTAACAAGGCTTCCAGGCTCTTCCTTTTTATCAATAAATCTGAAAGAACCTATAATGTTACATTGTTAGAACAGCTTCCTAGTGTAGATTCTTCCTTCTGTTGGCTTAAACAATCAGTGTACTATTTGCCTCCATTGTCTGTGTGTTATATGACTTCATTCTGTCTGAAAGGGCTCTGGCTTCTGAGTGTTCTGCCTTAATTTAAAGTCAGGTGAGAAGCATTCAGCTTTGAAAAAGTTAGTATGCTTTAAATAAGACCTCTTAGTTCTATGGTATGGGGTTCCTCCCCTCCACCCTGACCCTGTATTCATTCAGAGGGAGAAGACAAAATAAAGATGGAAACCAGCAGGCACTTAGTGTAGCAATTGCACAAAATACAACTTTACCATGTGTGTATGGATATTATTTTCCACTTTTATATCCTTGACAGAATGGTCAGTGAAGCATGACAATATTTCCCTCTTCCTCCCATCCTCCTCCTTTACAGCACTTAAACTTCATTATACTGTTTAGACAATGTTTTGGTTTTTTTTTTTAAGATACTGAGTAGTTAACTACTTAAAAATATTTTGAAGGGTATGTTTTATATTTCTGTCTTATAATTACATATTAACATAGAATTATTTGACTTTGGTACTGACCCCATGCATCTGTTCACCTTATTGGGATATTTTACAGTGGCAGGTGCAGGCAATTGCCCACTTCAGCAGTGCTTTGACATACTTGATCTGTTTCTCCTTCCCACAGGAAAAGCTTTGCCAGCAGAAGTACAATGTCTCCTGCATAATGATCATGCCCCAATACCAAAGGCAAGGATTTGGAAGGTTTCTCATTGATTTCAGTAAGTGAACTGTTTTATTTACATTTGCGATCCAGGGAGCTGATGGCTGTTGTAAGAAATTGTAACATATGAAACTTTATTTAACTTGCTCTGTTGTTTTATCAATAGATAATGGAATTTCTGTTTATATTTACATAAGATAGAAAAGCTCCCTGAAGTGAAAAACTTACTGCTGCTCTGTTACTGTACTTGAGGAAATTGAGAATGAATCTCTCAGCAGTAATATTAGCTCACAAAGCTATTACCCTGAATGAATTGTCTAAATTACTTTCCGTTTTGCCTTGCTCATTAGTACAAGAAGAGGCAATTATTTGTGGTTAAAGCTAAGAAGGTGTTAGTCCAAGGCATTCTCTACATTCTAATATTTCTAACTTATATCTTCTTTTATCTAAAGAATTGTTTTAGCTGAAGAAGTGCTACATAGAAGGAATGTATTTTGTTTTTTGTCTTAAAGTTCATTGCTTCCTTAGTGGAAATTGTTACCAAAAAAAGCAGAGGTGCTCGTGGCTGTATATGTACTTGCTGCTTTATTTTGCTGAGTTGTCTGACCTGTTAGAAAGCTTCGGGCACACTTGTTTTAATATAGATTTGTTATTACCTAAATCTTTAAGCTACAATGAAACTCCAAATAAAATTGTGTAAAGAAACTTCTCAAGCTGATTGTCTTCAGTACTACTGAACCCAACTTTCTCCTGTGATTTAGAGGGAGGATGATAAGAAATTAGTGTATATTGTATGTGGTTAGTTTTCATTATTACTTATGGTTTTTAAAACAGTGTAGAATTAGATTATGAGAGATAGTTAAGATAATAGGATTCCTGCCCTGAAGGTGTATGCAAGAACATTAAAATGCAAATAAAAATACATGGCAGTTTAACAGCAGGACTGACAATAATTTGTAACTGTAGAGTTTTCAAGTTCTGTGTCTTGTAGTGTTCTACACAGCATGACTACACTAGAGTATATAAAGGTACTTAGTATAGCCCATCATTATATGGCTTTATAAACAGTCTTCACTATACCCCTGTGAGTTAGATAAGGATGGTTCTAGACCACTTAATCCAACATTGAAATGTAGCCATTGCTGGAGCGGAACACAACAGCTGTTCCATTGTTTGCCTTCTGCAACCTTTTAGGAAATATTTCTGGAACAGCACAGTGAAGTTTAAGCTTACTTAGGTAGAAATTGGCCATATTTTTGGCTTATGATCTCTTCTTGCAAAAGGAGATGGGGAGCTCTTACTGGGCACAACTGGTAAGTACTTCTAGGTTTTTTTCCTTTGGCTTTTACTCTGTGGTGTCTTTCAAAAAAAGCACTCTCAACAAATGTTATTCTGGTTGAGTTTGTGATAGTTATGTCTACAAAACTGATGGCACAGCTATGAAACCTGTGGATTCCACAGAAGGTCTGGATATGGATATACTGTGCTCTCTGGATCTGTGCTCTCTCTGTTACTGTGCCATGTGCTACTTAGTCTGGAAAAATCAGTAGGGTGTTCTGTCCCCCTTATCCTTCTGGAAAAACCTGAAAACACATTGGGTTGCTTGATTTATTAGGATTTCTGTGATGACTTGCAACATGACCTAATGGTATCCTTAGCTTGAAGTTTATCTGGTGCTGTTCTTGCACCTTTCCTCTTTGCAGACCTTTGTTCATAGCACGGTATATCTTGCAGCTGCAGCTGTATACGTGCTGGGAATAGTCTAGAGACTAGCTTTAGCTTCTGTTGAAGCTAACAGACTGCCCATTTCGTGAGTGGTCAGTCCTTCAGTACCTTTCCACAGTGTTTTCCCTTTGTTTTCTGGACAGAGGTTCCCATAACTAACTGAGAATCAGACTGTCTCAGTCTCCAACAGAATGAAGAACCAAGAGGTGACTGAGAAAGTCTGGCTTGGCAGTGAGAGTGAGGTGCAAACTAAATGAAAGGTAGTGAGAGACCTGCTTGTGGCTGTTTTTCCCTAAGTATAGAAAGGAGAGTAAGACTTTAAGGATTGTTTTCCCTAGGTTGTACTTACATCCTTTTGCAGGATGGAGGCTGAATACCATTAAATAAGTCGGCAATAGCCACGTTTGGATTAGTGAGTCCAAAATCTGTCTTCACACAAGAAAAACTCGACATCAATATTTACTTTTTTTTCTTGGAATTTTATTTGTGTTTCTGTCTCCTATGTTGTAATTGACTGACTGCCATCTTCTTTGTACTTCACTCCCTCTGTTCACTTGTGGTGTCCTGATAATAAGTTGCCCTAGCTGGTGTGAGAAGATGGAGTATATCAAAACCCCAGTTATTATTCTAAACTTAAATAGAGCAGGTTTATAATAGTTTAAATTTTTTTTTTGCCAGTAACATTATCTAGATTGTCATGTTCTCATAAAGTTATTGGAAGATTAATTTTATGCTCTGGATGTTAAGTATTCATTTGTCATGCAGGTAACGTATCTAACCTGCTCTGTTTTGAATTCTGTGAAGCATTCACTGGTACTTGTCTTTTTTTTAGAACAGCAACCAGAACAGTTTTTAGACTAAAATAATAAAAATGTAACTGAGCAAGTAATTTTCAGAAAGTTATAGTTACAGACCATAAAAGGGAAGGTCTCAAGAACTGCGTGGAAGTGGTTGACTGGTCACATTACTTTGTATTTATCTCGACACTTGACAGTTAGAAAGACTGGAAAGAGCACAGCCTTAAGCCACTACATAGTAGTAGTTTGTGGTACAGAATTTGTTTCTTTTTTGGTAAGTGAAATGCATTTGTTAAGATTGTGATGCTTTCTTTTGTCTTAACGTAATTGACTCTCTACAGATGAGTCTATGTGGTCATCCTGTAACTTGCAAGGGAAAATAAATTATTTTTTTTGCTAAAAGAAAAATAGATACTTGTTGTCTGACGATTTTTTTTGTTCTCTGATGTTCTCTGTTTTTTTTTTTTTTTACCAACTACATTTAAACTTACTAGTTTCAATTTGAAATACAGCTAATACTGTTATTTCTTACTCTGTAAACACTAACATAAAGCTTTTTGTAAGGTATATCTGTCTATCTCTTCAAGAATCCCTAAACTCACATGTAGAAAAAAGATTTTTAGGAAGAGTACTTTAACTTTTGTGGGAGGAAAGCATGCTGTAAAATGTTTGAGTTCTGTAGCTTGATTGACTTCAGCAAAAATTTCTTGTGTAGTTTTCTGTATGTCATTGGTCATTTAAATAGAAATGTTTTTTTAAATGCAATATATACGTCTGTATCTGTTTCAGTTTTAAAAGCCTGGTAAGTTGTGTGGGTTAGGTTTTTGGGGGGTTTTTTTGTTTTGTTTTGGTTTTTTTTGGTAGGGAAGTTATGGGTTTTGGCTGTCATAGAAACTTGTTGGGCTGTTAGAAATGGAAAAAAGTTTAGTTCTAAATATTTATCAAATGCTGAAACTCAGGATTGTGGGCTTGGTACTGCCTAATTTGCTTTACTGTAGGATAAAATCAGTTTAACTTGTTTTCTAGAAGCATGTCATACTGAAGACAAAATGGTTTACATGAAGTCTTCATTTTGTTTACACTGTGTATGCTTTATTAAATATTATTTTATAACAATCTGTTGATTTTTCACATAGGGAACGTAATTTTTACTTGGAGTGTATTTAAATGTACAAAAGCAGTTCCTGAAAATAAAAAATTTGCTTGTTTCATTTACACCTTCCTGCCTTTTACAGGACTGATAATTCTTGCCAAAAATTTCTTGGGTTTGGGCTTCTAGTTTTGTTTTCATTTCCATCTTGTTCTTGTATTCTGTGAGGTTGACTGGATTGTCATTTTAGGATTGTACCTGAGGGAGAATAATTGACTCCTGCATGAATCTTTCCTACCTGCTGCAAATTAGATTTTGGGCAAGTAGACTCCAGTTTACGTTCATCCAGAAATAAACCAGACAGCAAGCTTTTATCGTGTAAGATCCCATTCTGGGTTTGCTTCACTTCATGTCCGTGTATGAGTCCGTTTGCGGTGCTACGCACCTATCATTCCTGTCACTGGGACTGTACATACTTAGAGTTGGACAAGCCTTTGTATGTCCTCCGTCAACTCAGCCTGCATTGCTGTTGTGGTTTTGACAGTGCAAGTATGGAAGCTACAGTCTTGTAGCTCTTCCTCTCCATGCAGTCTCATTTGTTTTACAAACTTTAGCAGCTTCTCTATACAAGAACTTTTCTTTACTTTTTTAATTTGAGTACTCATAAAGACTAGAATCTGTGTGTTTTCTGTTTGTATTCATTAGGCTGCAGTGCCAAAACATATTAATATTTCTTTATTTGGCATATCTAACACCCTGAGCTCAATATTATGAGAATGGAATACTGCAGTATTTCATATTTGTTTTCTGTAAGTTTCAAACAATCTTTTGATTCACACTTCTGTCACAAAGCTCATCTCATCACAGTCCTGTATTTCTGTTTACTGGATTGCAAATTCCATGCTGGATGCCTAGCAGCAGTTGGAGATAAAAAATGCATGTGACAATATTAGGATAAACCTTTCCAGCTGTGCTGGCTAGTATGTCGATGATTTGTTTGCATCACAGGAACAAGTGGGTTCAATGCTGAGGAACAAAGTCCTTGATAGCCTTTTGTTGTTTACACAGAATCACAGAAT